TGTACCAAGAGAATTTCCCTCACTTCATGTTTGGGGCTCCGTCCTGCTCCACTTGAAGTCAATTGTAAAATTCCCATTGACTTCAGTGGCAGCAGAATCTGGCTCTTAAAGCTGTTAAGAGAGTTTCTCTAAAGAGGATAATATTGGTATTGGGGTCGAAATCTACTGTGGTTTAATCCTAGAAGCACTGGTGTCAGTCCATGTAATCCTACTGGCTTTTCACTGATCCCCTTAGCTCAGTTTCTCTGTTCTGATCTGATTTCCTCTGTAATTTAGCATTTTTGCTCATTCTCTCTGCTCATTATAGGTTTAGGAAATCAGTCTTCCACCCCCAGCCCCCTTTTCCGAAGGAGGGGCAGTATTGCTAGTTTCCACTAGGTGGAATGGGGTGCTGGAGTCCCATCCACATGCTGCCATTTGGCAAACAAGAACAGAGCAGATGGATTCTAGTAGCAGGGAGAACTCAAGGTGATTCTTTAGAGGAGGAGAAGGAATTTTCTTCCCCTCTATTTTTGTTTTGTGTCTTCTACAGTCACTTGGATTTATTTTGTAGATAACAGAAGGGTTTATTTGGAGGCCTGGCATGAAAAGACTTTGCACTAACATAATGCCTTCCATGCAAAGATCTCTCAGTATTTTTCTCCTCATTTGCTTGCTTCTGACCGGACTGCAAGATGTGAAACAGCACCCTGTGTTTGTTAGTAACAGCAAAGCACTCTTTGAAGCAGCTCCCTCCAGCCTTTATACAGGCTAGGGATGTAAGAAAGTAGTCTGTTAGTCTTTTAGTCTATCAGAGGCAGTGGGATAGGGGCAGGGAAGCCCCTGGCTGTGAGGGTTCCCAGCAGGAAGTTTGGACCCCCTGCGGACAGGGGCTACCACCAGCTGGGTGGGCAGCCCCACTTAGTCCCAGCTTGCGCCAGGACCAAACCCCACTGCAGTTCTGCAATTTAAAAGGCAGTAGGAGCCGGACAGCCTGCCCCCCAGCTTCTACTACATTTTAAATTGCAGAACCAGAGTTCAGGAGACTGAAACACTCCGCAGTTTGACATTTGTCCTCCCCCTAGAAACCATGTGGAGAATTTTTTACATAGAAATAGACATTACTGTGGGGGATCTATGTTGTGCAGCGTGCTAAGATTCAATTTCTGTTTTATGCCTCTACTCCTTTCACCTGGATCATATGATGTGTTTAATCTCCCTCACCAAGCTAGAATGATACTTATGGTATTTCAAGATGAGAGAACCCAGAGGACTATGGCAAGATGAGAATTTTCAGCTCCAGGTGTTCTCACAAAACGTTTAAAACTGAAACCTGAAACACTGTTTCAAAGGCATAATAACAGACATCTTTTCCACCTCCACTGGAATGAAATGCAAAGTGCAGATCTGCCTGACAAAGGAACTATGTACAAACTGCACCTTTTTGCTCCTGTCTGAATGCAGAACCTCTTACTTTGGGACAGAAATCGGTTTGTGCTCCTATAGGCACTGTAGGGTGAATAGAGCTATGAGGAAGTGAAATCAGTTCTGGCTCATGCTCCAGCAAAAGAATTAACTAGGATCCCATTGTGGGACCAGATTCTGCCCTGTGTGACAGACACATGGCCGCAGGGAAGGCAGCAGGCTTCCCAGCTTGACTCTTAGATCCTAGATTACGTTTCCGGGCTGGAAGTTAGAAAAACAAAACAAACCCTCTTTGAGCCTGTTTGTTACAGAATCACTCAGACAATAAACAGGACAACTCAAAGCCAGTTTTTACCCTCTGTATTTAGAGTAGAATTATGGGACTGGAAGGCACCCTGAGAGGTCATCTTGTCCAGTCCCCTGCACTCATGGCAGGACTAAGAGCACCTAGACTACCTCTGATTTGTCTACGCTGCTTTTAAAAATCGCCAGTGATGGAGGTTTCAGTTATGTCCCTGGGCAATTTAATCCACCCTGACAGGACTTTTTCCCCTAAAATCCAACCTAAACTGCCTTTGCTGCAATTTAAGCCCATTGCTTCTTGTCCTTATTCTAAACAATTTTTATCCTCTCTCAGTCATCTCTGTTCCAGACTAAGCAATCCCAATTTTTTCAGTCTTCCCTCATAGGTCATGTTCAGGAGCAACTGGTTGGGGGAAACCAGGGGCCCACCAGCCACGATAATCCCCCCACCCAACCCTGGTGAAGGGCCAACACAACCCCACTCCATCCAGGACCTACCCCGCCCTACCTCTTCCCCTAACCCAGATGGTCTGGGGAATTAGTGCACTTACCAGCAGCAAGCAAGGTAAGCAGAGTAAGACGGACCCGCTGCTTAGCTTCTCCAACAGCCATGTCGCTCCGCTTCCTGCCAGGAAGGATGGGGGAGCCCTTCAGTGGGCTCTGCTTTTCCTCACCACTGCAAGCAAGGCCGGGAGGGATGACAGCCCACCCCTCCGTTTGTCCCTCTCCCAGTTGCTGGCCAGCCTCTTGCTCCTTGTGCCCATAGCAGTGGGGTCATACGTGATCCCGCATGTCCCCCCACATTGCCCTTGCTCGTGTTTTATAGACCTTTGATCTTCTTTTGTTGCTCTCCTCTGTCCTTTCTCCAATTCTCCACATCTTTCCTGAAACGTGGCACCTAGAATTGGACAGGATATTCTAGCTGTGGCCTAATCAGCGCAGAGTAGAGCAGAAGAATAACTTCTCGTGTTCGGCTTACAACGTTGCTAATATGGCCCAAACCGATGGTCTTTTTGTTTTTGTTTTTTCCCCAACAGTGTCACTTGTGATCTTCTGACTCCCAGATCTCTTTCCACAGTACTCCTTCCTAGGCAGTCATTTCCCATTCTGTATGTGTGAACCGGATTGCGCCTTCCTAAGTGGAGCACTTCGCGTTTGTCCCTGAATGTCATCCTATTACTTCAGACCATTTCTTCAGTTTGTCCAGATCATTTCAGATTTTAATCCTGTCCTCCAAACTACTTGGAACCCCTTCCAGCTTGGTATCGTCCCCAGACTTCTCTCTTGCCTGTACCATTATCTAAATCACTGATGACAGTATTGAACAGAACCAGACCCAGAACTGGTCCCTGCAGGACCCCACTCAGCATGCCCTGACAGCTTGATTGTGAACCACTGATAACTCTGTGATAGGGTGTAGTCATAGAAGACCCCTTCTGGCTGTTCCCCATGTGTGATTATACCTCTGACACTCACCGACTTGCTCTCTGAAGCTCCTTAGCACTCTGTCCTGCTGGGTCAGATTTCCTGATCTCCCCCAGACAAGGCACAGAGCTGGGTTAACTCCCCCGCAAAGAGCAATATAGACACTGAACCATTTCAGCTCTGGGATAATGCAGTTCTAGGGCACAGCGCCCAGGAAACCGCCCCCAAAAGGGATCACACCCCCAAATCAATCAGTGAAAGCTCATTCAGGCAAGAGGAATATGCACACTCATTGCCATGCCTCCCCCAGGTAACAGTTATTTACACTGGGCTTGACAGTAGACAAAAGTGCTTTTATTAAGTACAAACAGTAGGATTTAAGTCATTTTAAGTAAAAACAGACAGATCAAAGTATGTTGCAGAATTAAAATCAAAAGAAAGGCACAGCTAGTTCTAATGCAATAGAGCTTATTGCAAACAAACTCTTACCCTAAAGCTTCAGAGGGGTAGCCGAGTTAGTCTATAACAGCTGTTCGTATGTCTGGCAAGCCTTCAAGTCATAGGTAATTTTTTAACCTGACTTGGGTCTCCAGTTGACCTTCTTCCCCAGGCAGCTGAAGACAAAGAGATTGATAGTTTCCCATGATGTCGATCCCGAAATAGCTTTTCCTCATCTTTTAAACAAACCCGTTATTTTGAAATAGCTTTTGAAATAATGGGCTCGCTATTCCGATGTCCCTGTAAGCCTCGTTCTGTGAAGATTAACAGACGTTTCGGAATAGCGCGCTATTTCAAAATTTGGCACTGTGTAGACGCCAAATGACAGTGCCAAATTTCGAAATAAGATTTTGAAATACACTCGAAATAAGCTACGCAATTAGCTTATTTCGAGCTACCGGTGCAGTATAGATGCACCCTTGTTGTTTAAATAGACTTTTTATTGGGCGGGAATCTTTTCAATCATCACAAACTCCTCTCTGCATATGGTTTTCCAACAGATTATGCACACGCCTTGGAGTAACTCCATCTAGGTTGTATATTCCAAATTTGTTTGAGTAGGTCACGTGAGACAGTATTAAAAGCCTTACGAAATCAAGATTTACAACATCTATTGCCGTCTCCCATCCACAAGGATTGTTACCCTATCAGAGAAAGCTCTTAGGTTGGTTTGACACAATTTGTTTTTGAGATATCCATGCTGTTACTTATCACCTTATTATCTTCCAGGGCAGCGGTTCTCAAATTTTTGGGCTCTGGAGCCCTTTACATACATAAAAATTTATGCGGAGCCCCAGCAGTCCACTGATTGTATGTGTTGTACATATTGATGTTTCCAGTTTGTCAGCCTCGCGGATTCCCTGGAGATGTTTAAGAAACACTGTTCTAGGGGTTTGCAAATTGATTGTTTAATTATTTGCACTATTATATTTCATGGTACAGAAGTTAAGATGATTGGTCTGTAATATCCTGGGTTGTCCTTATTCTAAGTAGAATCTAGCTTCTTAAGTTTTGAAAATTTGTTCTTGAATTCTAGACCCTGCAGAGTTCTTAAAGTCTTGTTATTTGTTAATTATTTGCATTACAATAATGTCTAGAGGCCTCAACTAACATTAGGACCTCCCCCTGCACTAAGAGGCATGGGAACGATGGTACCTGCCCTGAAAAGGTTCAGTGTAAATAGACAAGAGTACCAACAATTTGGAAAGGGAAACAAACAGTGGAGAGTTGATTTGCCCAAGGTCTCATGGCAAAGCTGGGTCTCCTGTATCTCAGGCCACTACCCCTCCCATTGGACCATGTTGTCGTTTGATGTTTCAGAAACTACAATGTAAGCTCCCCATTTATTCTGACTCAATGTTCCTCGTTAGGTTTCCTTTGAGGTTTCTGTAGAAGCTCGGAGCTGCCCTGCCGAGACAACCTCGCACACTTTTACCATCAAGCCAGCAGGGTTCCGGGACACCTTGGAAGTGGAGGTCACGTACAACTGCACTTGCGGATGTACGACGTGGCTAGAACGGAACAGCAGCAAGTGCAGTGGGAATGGGACTTACACCTGTGGACTATGTGAATGTGACTCAGGCTATTTGGGAGCCAAGTGTGAATGTGAAGAGGGAGAGAGCGGGAACATGTACCAGAACCTGTGCCGGGAGGCTGAAGGCAAACCTGTCTGCAGTGGCAGGGGGGAATGCAGCTGCAACCACTGTGTCTGCTACAAGAGTGAGTTTGGAAAGATCTACGGGTTGTTCTGCGAGTGCGATGACTTCTCCTGTGCCCGATACAAGGGTGTCCTCTGTTCAGGTGGGTGTGCCTCCCTCTCTGCCCTTCTCATTTAAAGCTGTCACCATCTACTGGGTCTCCTTGGCTGAGGCATGATTTGAGACCACTTCAGAGAGCTTTCATAGGCTGGTATTTGCAAACTGACGTGTGTTCTTTCAGTGTAGAGATTTGTGCTCTTTCTTTTACACAGGGTGAGCAATTTCCAAGGAAATACTAGTGTAGGACAGCGTGCTGGTAAATATGGGCTTAAATCTAGTTTAAACTGGGAACAATAATTGCACCAGTGTCCAGCAAGCACAGAATGAATCTTTTGAAACTTTGGGTACGTCTGTTCAGAACTGAAGAATTAGCTTGGTCTGACTACTGCCTCAAAATTGGTCACTTGCTATCGAATGCTGTATGGCTAAATAGACCTGGTCTGGTAGTATGAAACGCCGCATGCCTCTTATTGGTTATCTCTTTCAGCCTACAACCCCACATTATTGTCCTTGTCATATAATCAAATGTTTTCAACTTTCACTTAAAAAATTTTGAAAACCAAGATACAAGTTGTGACATGTATAGCTTCCTTGAGGAAAATGCCAAACCAAAACATATATAGACATTTAGATGTTCCATATTATAATTACATATATAGTATTATACCTACTGCCATTTTACTTTTTATTTTGACCTCTCTAAATCTCTGAATCTACTGTCTTGTGTAACCACAAGTTCACTATGTAACTAAAACAAAGTGTAATGTGGTATATATTAACAAAATAGTTTTTAAAACAGAAACTGCCTTAAAGTGAGACTGATTTTTCTGGAGGCAGTAAAAACCACCTCTGGTAAATACCATGTCATCTCTGCTTTCAGGTTTGTTTAAAAAATGAGATCTAGAAAGAAACCCTCACTGATAATGAGTAGAATGCTTGTTTTCCATGGGAACTGGGCTTTCATTGGCACAAAGAGGGTAGAATGAACTATACTCCCCAAATTGGGACTTTCTCCAAACTCCCTGGGGAATCAGAAGTCTGAAAGGTCTTATCTCTGGCATGATGCTGAAGCTGCTACAGATTATTTCAGCTTTGAGAGTCCATCAATTAGTGCAAACTATGTATTCTTTGGGAAGCCTTTTGATGATTTCTTGACATTCATTTGTGCTAGGTAAACCATCCAGCTCAGAGCAGGCAGAAGCATTCCCCACTGAAGACTAATAATTTAGACCCATTAGTAAAGGGCCGTGGAAATAAGCTTGATTATATTCTTGTGTCTCATTTATTCAAAAGAACATGTGCTGAGATGTACTTATAATTTAATGTGTGTCCTTTTTGTCCTACTCTTTGGAAAAACACAGTTTTGCAGGAATGTTGCTAATAGTACCTTTGTAAGGCTAGGAAGCATCTATTGTGGGACAAATGTTTAATCTAATTTGATAAAATAGGTTCTTTGTGGTTTTGAGGTCACGTAATTAGCCACTGTGTATATAACTACCTACTGATTTTTGAATTGGTATGTCGAAAGGTATTCTACTGTCTTGGGTATGGCTGGTGACTGGATTAACTCCTGGCTGTGACATTATTGTGTGATCCTCCTCTTGACAGTTGGAGCTGGGCAAAATATTCATTGAAAGTTACCTGTTTTCTAGTTGCAAAATGTTTATGAACTTGGTGTACTGTGACCATGCTGAAGAATTGTGAACATTTCACATGAAGACTTTTGCTGCTGGACTAATGTAAAAAAGTATCCCCTTTTTCCCCCCCATGATTTCATCTTTTGAGCTGGGTTGGTTTTGACTGGCCATCTATTGTTGGTTCTGCATCTTTGATTGGCTTCCACTTATTAGTCTGCAGGGTTAGCAGATGCCATTTTGACTCACTTTCTTGGGAAATGGCTCTGGGCCCTTTCAATCTCCAGGCCCTGGGGCAATTACCCCTTTGCCCTTCCCCCTCCTCCCCAGGCAGGCCTGCTATCAGATATGTTTGGGCATAAGCTTTCATTGGTAAAAACCACTTAGATGCAAGATTTTTTAACGTTTGGGAATGGCAATACTGCGGAGAGTCTGGTCAGGATTATAAAGGTGGGAAAAACACTTCAGCACTATGGCATTTCATTTCAAAAAGGAAAACTACACAAAAATGAGGAGGTTGGTTAAACAGAAATTAAAAAGTACAGTGTCAAAAGTAAACTCCCTGCAAGCTGCATGAAGACTTTTCAAAGACACCATAATAGAGGCCCAACTTCAATGTATACCCTAAGTGAAAAAAACACAGTAAAACAACCGAAGATGTGCTACTGTGGCTTAACAGCTAAGTAAAAGAAGTAGTCAGAGATAAAAAGGGCATCATTTAAAAATTGGAAGTTAAATCCTAGTGAGGAAAATGGAAAGGAGCATAAACTCTGTCAAATTAAGTGTAAAAACATAGTAAGGAAAGCCAAAAGGGAGTGTGAAGGATAGTTAGCCAAAACTCAAAAAGTAAAGCAAAACATTTTTTTAAGTGCATCAGAAGTAAGAAGACTGCTAAACCACCAGTGGGGCCACTGGATGATCGAGATGCGAAAGGAGTACTCAAAGACAATAAGATCATTGTGGAGAAACTAAATGAATTATTTGCTTTGGTCTTCACTGCTGAGGATGTTAGGGACATTCCCATACCTGAGCCATTCTTTTTAGGTGATAAATTGAGTAATTGTCCCAGATTGAGGTATCATTAGAGGAGGTTTTGGAACAAATTGATAAAATTAACAGTAACAAGTCACCAGGACTAGATGGCATTCACCCGAGTCAACGCATACATAAAATTGTGGAACTATTAACTGTGGGTTGTAATCTATCCTTTAAATCAACTTCTGTACCTGATGGCTGGAAGGTAGCTAATGTGATGACAATATTTACAAAGGGCTCTAGAGATGATCATGGCAATTACAGATTGGTACATCTAAGGTCAGTACCAAGCAAATTAATTGAAACTATAGTTAAGAATAGAATTGTCAGACACATAGATGAACATTATTTGTTGGGGAAAAGTCAGCATGGTTTCTGTAAAGGGAAATCATGCCTTACTAATATGCGAGAGTTCTTTGAGGGAGTCAACAAGCGTGTGGACTAGGGGGATCCTGTGGATTTAGTCCCCCTCTCTCTATACAAAAACATTTTCCCGCGGGACGACAGAATGACATCATTACATCTGCTGCGTTCCTCACCCCCCACAGCTTCGGCAGAGTCAGAAGGGGAAGCAGCATTCGTGGCTCACAGCAGAATGGGAACTTTTCACTACTGGGGCTGGGGTGAATCTCCTGCCCTCTACAGGAGTGAGGCTGGGATGGGCGGGGCTGGGGCTCTGGCTCTGGCAGGCAAAGGTCTCTTGGCCCCTCCTGGGGGGCACGCTAGGTTCCTGGCTTCCCTGCAGGAGGGCCAGGGGGTGGCAGCAGCTCCTCACTGCACTTCAGGGCTCTGGTGGAAGCAGCTCCAGCTTCCTGTTTCACCACCTGCTGCTGGGCTCTGGCTCCTGCAACCAGGCAATCTCCACCGGGAGCCAGCAGAGCCTTGGTGGGGGACAGCTGCAGAGCACTCAGCATGCTCTCCTACTCCCCCATCCCCTGCTGCCTCTCATCCAGACACTTCTGGCCCTGCTTCTGCTTCTGGGCACCCCCAGACCCCTCACTTACTGTCCTGCCGAAACCCCACACCCGCAGCCACTTCAGTCACCACCCTCTTAGGACTCCGCACCCGCAGGCCGTTCGCATCCTGCCGAGACCTCACATCCCCAGCCCCCTCACTCATCCCTTCCACCATGACCCCACACTCACAGCCTCTTCATGTACATTCCCCCCAGGCCAGACACCTACCTCCAGCCTGCTCCTGCCCCCCTTCCCAGAGAAAGCTACCAGAGAGTGTAGCGGATGAGCATAGCGAGCCTATTCAACTTATTTATAAATGATCTGGAGAAAAAGGTAAACAGCGAGGTGGCAAAATTTTCAGATGACACTAAACTGCTCAAGATAGTTAAGATCAAAGCAGATTGTGAAGAACTTCAAAAGGATCTAACAAAACTAGGTGATTGGTCAACAAAATGGCAAATGAAATGTAATATTGATAAGTGCAAAGTAATACACATTGGAAAAAATAATCTCAACTATATATACAATATGATGGGGATTAATTTAGCTATAATCACTTAAGAGAGATGTTGGAGTTACTATGGATAGTTCTCCGAAAACATCCACTCAATGTGCAGTAGGAGTCAAAAAAGCAAACCGAATGTTAGGAATCATTAAAAAAGGGATAGGGAATAAGACAGAGAATATCTTATTGCCTCTGTATAAATCCATGGTTCGCCCACATCTTGAATGCTACGTACAAATGCAGTCGCCTCATCTCAGAAAAGGTATCTTAGTTCAGAAAATGGAAACAAAAATGATTAGGGTTTTGGAACGGTTGCCATATGATGAGAGATTAGAAAAGAGGAGACTAAGGGGAGATATGATAGACAGGGCTCAACAAATAATACAATCTACTCACCTGTGGCAAGTAGATCGTAACCCAGAAGAGCCGGGTTCGGGCGATCTGTTCATGTGCAGATCGCCGGACAATGCGGCTGGCGAGCCCTGATGATAGAGGTCTATAAAATCATGACTGGTGTGGAATAAGTGAATAAGAGAAAGTTATTTACTTGTTCCCATAACATAAGAGCTAGGAGTTGAGAAATGAAATTAATAGGTAACAAGTTTAAAACAAAAAAAGGAAGTTTTACTTCATGCAACACACAATCAACCTGTGTAACTCTTTGCGAGAGGATGTTGTGAAGATCACGATTTTAATAGAGTTCAAAAAAGAACTAGATAAATTTATGGAGGTTAGGTCCATCAATGGCAATTAGCCAGGATGGTTAGGAATGGTGCCTCTTGCCTCTGTTTGTCAGGGGCTGGAAATGGATGACATTAATGGGTAGCAGGTTTAAAACGAATAAAAGAAAGTTCTTCTTCACACAGCGTGTAGTCAACCTGTGGAACTCCTTGCCAGAGGAGGCTGTGAAGGC